CTGTTGGCGTCAGCGTGACACTGCCTGAATTGTCACATTGCCGCTGGCATTTTGGTTAAGCGTCTCGCATGAGTATAACAAGGAGTGCTTTCTCATCTGACTGCTACCTGCGTTCTCATGTCGCTGCATATGTGCTGACCGTGTTCTGCTTGCATCGTGATGATGCGGTCTGCATCATGGTGGTGCCGCCTACAGAAGCTTGATGCGATCATCCTAATGCTGCCTGCATCACCATGTCGCAGCCTGCTGTATTGTTTAAGTAGCATTTGCATCACCATGGTGCTGCGTGCGTGATCATGGTGCCGCCTGCATCATGGTTTCACTCCTTGCGTTAGCGTGTCTTCGGCTGACGTGTTTTTGCTGTGGCAGCTAGTGATCGCAGGTGCTGACAGGGGCCTTTGGGGCGCTGGTTCCATCGCTGCCCTCAGAGGGCGTGGTCTCGGTGCGAGTGGAAGATGTGCCACAGGCTGGCTTAGCTGCGTTGGGGAAGATATAGCCGACAAGCTTCAAGGATATTAGTTTGATGTGCTCAGTCGTTTGATTCATGGGATGTTGGCGACAGGAAAAATGGCAGGAGTATGCTGAGTTTTGACAACGCTTGGCATATTGTTGCATGTTATCATGCAGGGTGAGACCAGACACATCGTACAAAGGTGTGATTGTTTTTGGTACTCAACTCAAGTTGCATTTTCTGCAAACAAAACTGCACTAACACCTGGATTGCATTTAGTTGCCAAAGGCGTGAGATCATCTTCGCTTGGAGCAAAGGCGGCAAGCAACAAAGGTGAGACACAACGTGTGGGGTTTGCTTCGTTGCCAGCGGTCCATGGGAACACACCCTCCCAGACAAAATCCCGCCAACCACACCACTTGGAATGGATGAAACCCTATGAATGGCCAAGCCACCAATCCCAAGTGCCGATGGATTCGCGCGGATTGTCCGTCAGCCTGTCATGGCCGAGCTCAAAGACTTCTACGAGCTGTCCGGAGTCCTTTCTTTGCGGCTCGGATTTGGTCGAAGCAATGGGTTGATGGTGTTGGGAACCCCAAAAGGCAGCCACCACATCCATGTGGTTGCTTTGTTCTATACGAACCCGAATCGTTTTTGGAACCATAACCGTAGCGAACCATTTGTTTTTTTGGGTTGCTTGGTTTCGATACGATACGAACCCCCAAATATGCGAGCTCATAGAGTGGCAGGATCCTGGTGCCTGCCTGGTGGAAAGATCGCAAAACATCACATGCCACCACGACAAGCAGCAACCAACCAACCAACCAACCAACCAACCAACCAACCAACCAACCAACCAACCAACCAACCAGCCAGCCAGCCAGCCAGCCAGCCAGCCAGCCAGCCAGCCAGCCAGCTGGCCAGCCAGCCAGCCAGCCAGCGGCTATCGTTTCTAGTCCCAATCTTGGTCAGAATCGGTTGCGAAGCGAGCCAAAAGCTGGTCAAGGGAAACTTAAGGTTTGTTTTCCTTTAGTTTCCCTAGCGATGGACGAAATTCTGCACCACCTAAGAAACCCTGGAATGACGACCCTGTAAATACCAACAAACAATGGGTTGCCCATGGATTTTGTCCATCCGCACTTTTGTGCCGTGTTTTGGGAGCATCCTTTGCCCGTTCGGCTTAAGGCGGAGCATCGTGGAGATCATCGAGGACAAGAGCCTCTCCATCGACGCAACCTCGCTGAAGATCGAGGACGTTCCATGCCAGGAGACGGCTATGGGGTGGACTTCGGGCAGCCCTGGAAGTGCAGTTTGAACGCCTTGAACCATGTTTGAAAGCCTTGGTTACCTTTGTCTAGGAGTGGTGCACTGAGAACCTTGCTGTTGCATCTGCGATGAAGTTCAGGCAAACCCAGCTGGAAGTGAGCGGAGTGCAGCGAAGATGTCGGCACCCACGGCAGTCTTGGTCAAGAGAGGGCTGTTTCATGTTTTTTTTCTCCGAAACCTGGATCACAGTAATTAATTGTGTTTGTTCGATCCCTAGCCTGTTTCTTTGACCTCCCTCGATGTTTTGCAGAGTCAATAAGTAGGTTGGTGGAAGAACCCTCAGGGCTCTCCATTAGGGCGCAACCCTCCTGGACTTGGAGAGAACCAGCACTCAGCACTTCACACGCCACGGATCGTTTTCAGAAGCCTCCTGAGCGAAAGGGGTTAAACGATACCCGCCAGAAAACACGCTCATTTCAGACAGGGAGGGAGTGCTTTTACAGCCTTTCCGTGACTTGTCGCCGCCAGCCATGGTTTTTTTGAAGTTCACTTCTGCAAAGTTGCGGGTCCTTCACATCTTCGGCATTGTACCGCAGCGGTATGTTCATCAGCACCGAACGTGAATACTGCAACTGTCCATAAAAAGGGTTTGATCTTTGTTTCCAGGGCCTGTTGCGCAAGGTGGTCAGGAAATACAGCGGCAACTACAGGTGTTGCACGGGACTGGCTGAAGTTCTTTGCAGGGGCTGCCTTTGGATATGGCACTGTCTCAAATGGGCAAAAAGGGTGAGCTTCCCTTTGGCTTCCCTTCAAAACAAACACAAAAAGGGTGCCCTCAAAAAAGAGGCAACCATATAACAGGTCGTTTGCCTTGGTTCGCAGGACCAGCCGACTGAGAAGAGTGCGAAGAAGGTGTCATTCCGTATTGCTGCGGCTGAAACGCCTACTAGGCTTTTCAGGCGTCCTCCGAACCTTGCGGATGTGGCTGACCCACCAAGTTGGAAACCCTTTTCTTCTTGGGCAATATGCACATGCTTAACAATGTACAAAGGCCCTGCAAGCCCCATGCTTTGGCATACGCAACATGTTTGGAAAGACATAGACGAAGCCAAAGCTTAGAGTGTGTAGGTCATAGCAACCCTCACGCTCAGGTTTCCCTCACGCAGGCTGTGTTTCAAGTGGCGAGCGTTTGATGTTGTGTCGTTGTTTGAACTTTAGGATCCAGAAATTGCAGGATGTGGCCTCTTTTGAGAAGAGCTTGCGCATTGTTCACTTCCAGATTGGGTTGAGTGAGGGAGGGGACATGTTTGCACGGCACAGGGGTAGGAGATACGATGGGAGGCCTGATAGTTGCTGCATTGAGTGCACTTTCGGAAGGCTTTGAAAGTCAAGCTTTGAGCCAGTTGCCAGGAGGATGACAACAGTATTCGTAAGAATAAGAAAGCTACTACCAAGAAGAAGCAGACGAGAGAAATACAAGTAAACGAACAAGGATCAGGAGGAAAAGAAGAAGGAGAAGGAGGAGGAGGAGGAGGAGAAGAAGAAGAAGAAGAGCAAGTACAAGAGGAGCAACAAGAAGAAGCATAAGGATGACAATGCGCATGAGAATAGCAGCACTAGAGGATAAAGATGAACAGGACAAGCCAGAATGCCATACAAAATAGCAAGAAGGGACGAACAAGAGGACGGAGAAGAAGGAGAAGAAGGAGAAGAAGGAGGAGGAGGAGCCTGAGGAGGAGAAGAAGAAGGACACCAAGAGAACCAAGAATACACACAACAAGAACAATAAGAACAAGAAGCGCGAATCTCAGCACTGAGCAGCGCTGGCACCAGCTCAAGCACAAGAGGCGATGCTTTGTTTGAGTTCTCCTTCCGGCGCATACACCAATTCAAGCAGCACGTCATCAAGTAGAATGTGTTGCAACGCCTGCTTCCAGAGTGTTTGGCAGGAATGCTTTTTGGGCAACATCCCACAACCAAAACGAGGGACGCCCAATTCGGTTTCCCCGACTTGCTGATTTGAGCAGCTCCCAAAACCCTTAATCGGGTGGTTACCTCCCCGCAACACAGCGCGGAGTTTGTATTGAAATGCGTATCCCCTTGTGTTTTTGTGATAGCTGTTAAATTGATCTTGCACAGCCTTGGACCATCTAAGTCTTGAAGCATGATTCAATACAGCTGCGGCATCACATCAGCCGTCATGGCTCCCATAATTAATTGTGCTCAGCAAGTCGGGCATTGGTGTTTACCCTTTCAGTCCACGGAGTGTTCCCGTGAAGGTGAACGCTACCAGTTTGGTACTGGTGTTTGCGAACGCTACCATTGTGGCATTGGTGTTTACCCCTTGGAGGACCCTTTCAGTCCAGCGCATGTTCCCGTGAACGTGAACATGTTAGCATTGGTGTTTACCCTGCGGGGAAAAAACACTTTAACACAACGGGCTGGCGAGATGGACATCGTGAAAACACTTGTGGGGCGGGTGCCCCACCCGATGCCTTGTAGTAGGTGGTTCTGCCAGTGGAACCAAAAGTCCATGAGCTTTGGTCGCGGCTCATTTCGTTTCCAGCTGACTCGCGCAGGGCCGGGCGCATCGTCGCATCCTCTCCCACAGCTGCCGCCGCGGCCTTTGCTGGCCTCGCGCTGTTGGCGATGTTGGCGGTGCCGGCGGGGCGGGCGCTACGAGCGCGGTACCAGCCGCTGTGAGCCACAAAAGGTGGCTCAGAGGCTGAGAGGAGGCAAGGATTCCAAGGCTGATCCGAATTCGGAAGCACTTTAGGATGGCACTCCGAACGTTGAGACCTAAAACTTGCAGGCAAAGACTTGCCAGTTCTGATGGACAGGCTGACGCACTGCTTGGAACAATTGTGACTTGTGCACCGCCCGCACCGCATCCAGCCACTTAGACAGGGAGGGCTTGCAAAGCGGATACAACCCTTCCCGATGTTTTATGCTCGTGCACAAGCTGGGGTCGGAATTCTCTCTTTTTTTTGTCCCCCCAAGAGTTATTTTAGCAGTAACTGCTAACCCATGTAAGAGTTCACTTTTTGGCCATGGTAAACTTAAGAAGAGCGTGTTGCAGTGGGTATTTGCCTCACCTGCAAGCTATTGACCTTATTGGTTTTCAGCTTTCGTCTACTTGAGAATTTCTAGTCAAGGTTCCAAGAGGTACCCTTCCGTCAGAAGGTCCCTTGAGAAAGGTTCCATGTTGGCAACTCGCCTGTGGCCCTTGGGGCAAGTTGCCGAAGGCAACCAGAGCGGCGTTGAACACTTGGCACGGATGTAGGTGGTCCTGCCAGAGATGGACGTGCAGCAGCCGGAGCCTGACAGAAATGGGGCCCGAGTTTGAGAGGACGTGAGCAACGGTCAATATGCACAATCTACTGCACCAAGGAGGATGACATTGGGCACAGTCACAAAATCTCCATTCAGAACTTGGGATAACTCGCACTCCAATGTCAGTAGCGGACTATGATCATTGAAGGGCTCACATCCCAGCCGCACTCAAACCCACCTAATCACTCTTGGTGTCCACAGCACCCCGCCCTTAAAGGCAATGGATGTTGAGACTGCAACAACTGTCGGTCTCTTCTCTCAAGTGTCGAGGGTATTCCAGCTAACATTTTGTGAGCACGCACTAGGATGCTTACTCTCAGCCATGTCCACGTTTGCTTTTATCTCCAAGCAAGCAGACCACCGAGTCTATGTAGCTTTGGCCCATATTGCCCGAGCCGTAGACCTGAACTTGGCCCGTATCGGCCAGTCTTTGGAATTTCGAACTGCGAGATGTATCGCACCAGTTGAGCTTCCAGGTCATTTGCATTCTGCCGGATGACAGGTTTGTCGGGGCTGCTAGCTTAATGTGGCCAATCAGAGTTATTTCCTATGGTTGGAATCACCCACCATGCCATGGCCTCTACTTGGTCAGATACTAAGCATCTCATGACCTCGACTCTCAGCGGCACGCGACTAGACAGTGCAAAGCCCATCTGACCGAATCCGAATGGGGGGGGACACCAAGAATAAAGATTCGCGGCGCGAAGGAGAATCTCCCCCTACCAAGCCGGCATGGGCTACGGTTTACATAGCCACTCACCTGTCTCTGCAACAGACACGTGCGTGCGAGGGCTCCAGTCTTCAAGGATGTCGAGAAGTCCGGGGCTTGGGCAGTTGGAACATCTCCAATGATTGAATTTCCCTCGAACTGTTGGTGATAGGTGATTTATATAAACCTGGGAGGGTTGAATCGGTGGAGACCCACGCTTCGAGCGAGTTTCGTGAGCGATGACCGTTGCTCACGGGCCTCTAGAAATGAAGAAGGCGGCACCTGGCCCGAGCGAGGGATCTGCTTGAGGCTTGTCCTTCTGAAGTATTTGGAGGAGTGCGGCCTGGGCCCCGGTTGCGAATCGACCCGATGCCAACGAATGCAACAGAAAAAATGTGGAGGTCGAAGATTAGCCATGGATTGCTGGAATTCCATCCGCCCCAAAGTCAGCTGCACACAAAAGGAAAAGTTATCACTCATCCAGGTTTCATGGAGGGACTGGGCCACTGGTGCACTGACCCGCAAGAAAGGATGCTACTCCGGATGTGAGTTTGAGAGACACCAGAGCTTCCCGACCGCTCTTCCAAAGCGCTGGCTAACCTTGCCAGCTGGCCGAACAGAATGCAGAGAAGAGTAGAGAGTCTGACGCGAAAAGCACCAAGATCAGAATCAAACAGCAGGATGTGCCACACCTTCATTGCAGACTCCATGCAATCGCAAGCAGCCAGCCCCAATTTGTGCCACCCCAACAAGCCTCAGCGATTTGGTGAAACCATCCCGAAAAAGGCGGGTTTCCTTTAGCAGAAAAAGTGGTACCCCAACAAACAACACACCCACCAAAGTGCATTGCTGTTTGGTGTAGCTCAGTGTATATTTTTAGAGCACAGGGCACAGCCTGGTTGACCTCTCGGAAAGCACGAACTCCCCAAAGCTTCAAGCGATGTTTTGCAAGATGCTCCCCCTCGGCCGAAGCAAAAAGCACAACCCCCTCCCCCCCCCTCAACCTCTGTTCATTGCAACTAACCTTCCGTTCGTTGGTAACTAACCTTCTGACATTTCCATTTTTGGTGGCTTATTGAGAGCACTTTGCTTGCTAATATGGGCTGTGGAGCCATTTTGCGCCATGAACTGCGACGATGGAATGAACTATGAAAAACTGTAAGTGGTACAGAAATCTACCGCATTTTCAATCGATGGCGATACTAAAATGAGGCAGCGGAGCCAATTGCAGCGCCCAGGCGGCGGTCGATAACTGACTAGCAAGAGGCAACGTCGCCACTTCAAATATTTGGTTGACTGGCGCAGTGAGTCAGCAGTTGATAACATTAATGATGGTAGGGCTCTAGCAGGGGAAAACGTTTACTTTTTGACCACCGCGTGTGGGCGCAAGCCTTTCTGCAACCGGCGGGGCGCAGTGAATAGCGAACAGCGGACAGTGAACGGCAAACAGTGGACAGTAAACAATGGACTACGGGCGGTCGAAGGTAAAGAACATCAGCGCGCTTGCCTGCAGATGGCTCAAACTGCAGCAACGCACAGGCGTGCCCTAAAGTGCTTTCGCATGCTGCTCGCCACTGACAATCCAACAGGGGCAGGACACAGCATGTTTTCCACATAGCAGCCATTGATCACGCAGCGCGCTGATTCACAGCTGCGCCCGCTGAAAAGCTACGAACACCCACGCGCACAGTGCACAGAGCACAACGGGCTGCAAGCCGAAAACGAATACATATTTCGTTCATGGCACTTTACCATTTTCAACCTTGGCAAAGTGGTCATGTTCGTTCTTGAAAGACAGATTCTGGAACAACACAGGAGATCTACAAGCAGTCCCTCGCAGTCCTGCGCAGCAAACGCGCGCGCGTTCTGCGCGCACTTAATTAAAACTATTGGACTTCCACACGCTCAGCTTCAGCGCTTTCTACTTCAGTGTGCCCATGGCACTTAAAGGTTGGCTTCCACTACGCAGGCTTCGCAAATAATCCTCAGCCTGGTCCGCGCTTTCTGCATCTTAGACTCCCATGCCCTCTTCGAGCATACACATGCCGGGTCCGGCAGAACCTCGTCCAGGACCACCTCTGGGATGTAGGCGTGCTGCTTCCGGGTGGTGTTCACCACCCGCGCTCGCTTGGCATATCTGTGCGACATATTGTGGCCCGCTTTAGACGAGGAATGGCTCCGCATCTTGGGCGGGGGCGCCAGCTAACGCAGCAACGGACTGTGGACAGCGGACAGTGGAAATTAAACGCTGGAGCCAAATAGCTGCCATGTGTGACATAGTCAGTGTGCAGTGGGCGCAACGGATCTCACGCGCTGCAAAACAAACCCTTCCATGACAGCGCCCTCACGATTTCAAACAACGGTGTGAACAGCCACAAGTGCACGCGGAATTCTGTAAGGCGCAGGAGTTGACGATGCTGTTGCTGATGATGGCAGTGACGCAGTGACCAAACCCCAGGAAGCCAGCTAAACCACACCCACTCAACGAGCGCCCTGCGGCAATCCAAAGTGTGCCCCCAAGCATGGCGCAGTTGCCATTTCCAGGTCCTAGAATTCGAGGGGGGCGCCCGTCCGTAGACCAAAAATGGTGAGAATTGACCGACGCCACCTTCAGTCAATCGGTCAACTCCTGTTTCCCTGCTCAAGCAACGTGGGGTCAAGAGCGCCGTTCAAAAGGCCCTGCTCCTGGGCTTAACCTTTCTGAAGCGCAAGCGCGAACGCCAAAATTGCGGATTTCTTGAGCGCCTTTCCAGGTCTTGAATGCATGTTTTCAAATCAGTTGGTGTCCTTGGTGCTCGAAAGGCGCGTTAGCTGCAGCCGCTGGTTTTTGCGACACGCACAGACACACACGCACACACACACACACACACACACACACACGCGCGCACACTTGCAAATCAACTAGGTGATGGCCTTTTGTGTTGTCCCAGATTGTTTTTATGCCGGCCCCAGCTTGCCTACTGCTAGCAAGTGTTCATTTACATTCGGCCACTAGTGCCGGGAGATGAGGACTCCAACATTTGCACTTGCGTGTGTTTCACACAACCCTCTGCTGCGCGCTGTCCACTGTCGATTGTCCACTGTGAAAATAGCCCATTGTTTGGCAAGGGTGTGCGAAAGGCCAGGCCGTTAAGGGTGGTTCTTGGGCAAGCCGAACCTGCTGGCGACGCCGGCCCGCCATGTTTGCAGCCCTGGGTCGGAGGGTTTCATCGTGCTTGCGCTGACATGAGAGGCTTGGCGCCGGCCAACCATCCATTTGCGTTACAGGCTTCAGGTCACTACTGACATGTTACAGCTATTTGTGTTGCACGGGCGCCTTTTTCTTTCGAATCGCCAGCAATCTGCATGGGCCCAACCCGCCACAAACTTGCAGGGGCCCTCACGGACCAGCCAACTGCAAGGGGCAGGTTGGGCCAACCAAATGCAGGGGCAATCCAACATTTCAAAAACACAAGCCCAAGGGTTTGTTGCCATTGCTTGCTACAGACTTCGATTGCGAGAGCAATAGGGGTGTAAAACTTAAGGCGTCACTTCGTCGGATTGCTGCCTGGATTCTCTGCATGAGGTGAGACTGCGTAAGTCGCCTTCCAAGCTTTTTGCCCTGCACGGCGCTTACTCTTCCTCCACGCGTTTCTGCTGGAATGCCTGCGTTCCTGGCTCGACTCCTCGGCGTTGCCTGGGGCTGGCGGTGCGCTTGGGGATGAGGAGCTGCTCTGGGCTGAAAGCATGCCCGGAACTGTCGCCATTGGTGCTGGCGATGCTGCGATAGACCGTGAACAGGGGACAGCGGACAGGGCCTCTTCCTTTTCCCCTTTGTTCTCAGGCGCGGGCGGTGCCGCCGGCAAGGAGAAACTGACAGGAACCGCTGCGAATTGCAAAGCTTCCACCACGTCCTCTTCATGCGCATGGCAGTAGTGGCGCCTGAAAGTTCCCACATCATGCCGTTGCTGAATCTCCATGATCACATGTTCTGAAGGTCGTTTCGTTCCTTTTGGGTTTGAAAGCAAAAGTGCGGAGGACGTATGCCTCGTAGCCCCGTGCACCGTGACGTGAGAGCCTATAAACTCTTGGTTCCAGCGTCTGCGGCCGGTCAGCGCAAACATCACTTTCCGAATGCGGCTCACTGCTAGGGACACGGATTGCCTTGCCATCCAGGGTTGCTGGGCCTTCTTGGTTTCAGCCGGGAACAGGTAGCTGCCGTTGGCAGGCCAGTGAAATGGCTTCGTTGTGAGTGGCTGGACGTCTTCAAAGATGTTTGGGTGAGACTGTTGGAAGGGCTCCAAAGGGGGTAGCACGCACCTTTCTACGCCTTTGGCAATAACATCCCGTAGCGTTGATAAAACATCAGGGGCAAGGCGGGCAACAACCTTGTCAGCGCCAAGTTTCCCCAATCCTTTGTAGTCCTTGTTCTCCTCGCGTTTTTGGAACAGGATGTGAGGAGCATCATGCGTGAAGCCACCGTCCAGGAACACATCGCAGCCCTGAAGCTGCAACGCCTCTGAGATTCGACGGGAGGTAACCATTGTAACCCAAAGCACCATGACGTACTTGGGGCCCGCAAAAAACAGGGCAACAGCCAGGAAAAGGGTCAGCTCCTCCCGAGGGACGAACAAATGCTGAAGATCGGTTTTTGACATCTTCTTGCCCTTGTTCCAAGGCTTCTTGTTGTGGCCCTGGGCGGTGGGCATCTTGCCTGCCTTGACAGCCGGCTTTTCGCCTTTGACAGCCGGCTTTTTGCTCTTGACAGGGGACAGTTGGACAGCGGACAGTGAACTGCCTCTGGCTTTTTTCTTTGGCGTTTTCGGTCCCATGGATGCCTGTGGACAGCAGGCAGGCCGATCGGATAGCTTAATCCTTGTTTACTTGATCCAAACAGCTGATGACATGACAAGTTCCATGCCCGCTGTTCAATCACATGAGCGCTGTCCACTGTTCAAAGCAATGCCAACATTTGCGCCGACTGCAGGCAGCTCGTGTTGCCCGGCCTTGCAATTGCCAGGTGCCAGCGCGGAGCTCAACTCCAACCTGGCAGGACTTGACAGGCGTTGGGCAGGCAGGGCGTCGCACGGCAAACAGCATGTAAGCACGAAGCAGGCCCAAACATAAATCGTTGTGACAAAGTGTTCACCCAGAATGTTGGCAATGGTGTTTGGGGCTTGCAGGTTGCCACACTACCCTTCGTCCAGTCAAAGCCAAGCCCTCCGTTCAATGTGTGTGAAGGCTGGGCCTGGCTGGCTGCTGAGCTCGAAGAAGCCGCGAGCAATCGCATGTGGCCTGGGCCACTTGAGCTACCTTGGCTCCTGGGTGTTGCTTTCCACTGTGCAGCGTTCACTGTCCACTG